TTCTTGAGCATCGCCAGTGAGGGAGACTTCACAACCTCTCTGGACAACCTGTACCAGTGCACAGTAAAGAAGTTCCTCCCCATGATCAGGTGGAACTTCCTGTGCATCAGTTTCTGCCCATTGCCTCTTGTCCTATTGCTTGGCACCACTGAGCAGAGCCTGGCTCCCTCTTCTAACACCCTCCCTTCAGATAATTATATACATTGATGAGGTCACCTCTCAGTCATCTCTTCTTGAGTCTGAACAGGCCCAGCTCCCTCAGTGTATCCAATGTCATTTCACCTCAATAATAATTGTGGCAAGAAGTGTCTATCCTAACTGAAACTTTCTACTCTCTATGTAACATTTCTCAGGCTACCCAGCCTGAAAAAAAATCCTAGAAACATTGGCCAAAACACGTTTAGCACACAGTGTTGTTTTCATTCCTGTGACAATCTATGGGCTTCTCACTTCTGACTTCCTGTCTTTCGAGAGCAGCCTGTTTCAGTAAGAGAGTGCTCAAAGACCAATCATCATGAATATGAATTTAACAAGGTAGCAGTAGGAAGCAAAATGCCCCATCCGGTATGTCTAAGCACCACTAGGATGCTTGCCTCTGCCACTGAGATTCAGGTATGATCACCCATATGCAACAGAGAGACTGTAACATTCCTGAGCTAGGTCCAAAAACAGGACTTTCTTTCTGCTGTAGTCTCCCCTAGAAGATACAGGCTGCCTAGAGCATGATTTCCCAATCTTTTATCTTTAAGGACCATTCAACTTTCTGAAAGGGGTCCCTGGAATGTCTCATTGCTTTTTAAGTCAGAAAAAGAATGAATAAAGTATTCATCATTTAGAGAAAATACATTTTATTGGTTAAAAACAATTTTATTAACGTAATTACAAATATTTTCATTTTGAAATATTTGTATCACTTTACATGGATGGCCTCTTTACCAAGTCAGCTCAGTATACATTGACAATTGTAAGGTAACTTGTTAAGTATCTAGTGAGGGTGTTCTTTTCTTTCTATTTAATTAATTCTGCCCTGCAGCTCACCCTTTGATGTCTTATGAAACACTAGAGGCTGGTTTACTACAATTTGTGTAACACTATCCCTAGAGTCTTTTGATCCTCAAACAAGGTGAGAAAAAGCAAATCCCCAGGAATCCTTTTAGGCAGTCTCTTTTGCAATCCACACTTCTTCCTCAACCTCTCCTCATCACCACATAACATGCCTCTGTAAAATTAGAAATGCTTCTATGGAAGATAAAACTACTGTGCTCTTGCCAAAGGATGACGCCTGTATGTGAGAGCACAGAATTGTTCCTTTTACACTCTGCTCATTTTCTGATTCATTTTGATTCATTATGACACAAATCCTGTAACTGCTACCCTAAGCAGCCATGGACTGTAAGCCACTTGAGCAGGGCCTTATCTCTCTGACAGTAATTCCTTGTCTCATACCATCTATTGTTCCCTATGCCAATCACTTTGTATTTTATGAACCAGTCTAGAGCTTTCACTAAAGACACTTTGTGCTGAGCCACATCCTGGATTCTCATGATAGGGGAATGTAAAAGAAAATGAAACCTATACAAAAATACCCTCCTAAGCTGAAGCAAATCAACCTGGAGCTGAGAAATATGAATGGGATCAGGTTTTAACCCCTCAAAGTATGTTAAGATCAGAAAATTTCAAATGCTCTGGATTGTTAAACTTAAGAGGTTATCTTACACTGGCCTTGTCTGGTTTGGATCACAGCATGCTCACATACAGATCATCTCTTTTCCAATGCCAAGGCAGACTCACACAACTCAGCAATAAACCTCTTATGGACCACAGGATGCTGGGATTTCCCTCTATATGACTTTCTCCTAAGAAGTATGTTTTCTCTGTATTTCTGGTATGATACATCAGACTCACAAAATTCAGGGAAAAAATTTGCACTGAGAAAAAAAATCTCCATGAGCTTTTCTCTCAGTGCTGATAACATTAAGGTCCACATTTAAAGAACATTATATACATTAATACCCTCCAAATTAGCACAGAAATGCTTCTGGGATTTTTTCTCTCCCTTTACTGAGCATACTCTTTCAGAGCCCAGATCCTCCCATGGGACTTTCTAAGCCATTCAACTGCCTGTAGCTACTTCTGCTATGGGAATGAGGGCTCAAGAAGGGGTATGGGGACAGGAGGGCTCCTCTGCCCCACTTACCTCATAGAAGAGCCCTTCGGGGAACTGCTGAAAGCACTGGGCGCAGACGAAGCACTGCTCGTGGTACAGCTCACCATTGCTGTTGACAATTTTCTCGGCAGGGGCGAAGCCCCCCCTGCAGCGCTCGCAGATGGCGTTTGCAAGCGCGTTCGCCATGTTGCTGTCATTAAAAAAAAAAAAGAATAAAAAAATAGAAAATTAACCAAAATAGACAACAGCACTGATTGTGGGTCTTCCCTCCTCCCCACCCCCACCAGGTGAAACAGAATCAACCTAATGCTAAGCTGCTCAAATTTTTCAATGAATTTCATGGCTTGTGCCATCTCCTCAGAAATAAAGTTAACACTTCTCCCTGCTCCTAACTCTTTAGAAACAAAATCCCTGAGGTCCACTCTAATTAATTAAAAACCCCAAATGGAAACATCGTCACTACAGCTTTTTATGATGAGAAAAGACAGGCAATTCAAAGTACTATAAAAATTATGAAATACATTAAGATTATTGAAAAAAGGGAAAATATTAATGATTGAGGACTGGTGTTGCACAGTTAAATATAAACAATTTATTGTAAACCAATTCTTAATTCTAAAGTGTGTGCATATATATAACGGCATTAGTTCAGAGCTCTAAATAAACAATGTAGAAGACTGTGCAGGATTTAGTCTGGCAGACATTAATGAAAAACAGAGTAGTTAAATAATTATCCTTGATACAAGCTCTGCATAGCTTGAAGTCATTTTACAAATTTAGTTCGAAATCATGGGATTCTTCATTGGCCTGTTAGGGTTTATGTCAGAGAGCTCAGCTCATCATGTGCCAGCTCATTGCCCACTCCAGAGCCAAGGGAGAGGGTGGGAATGCTCTGACTGCCCCACTGTGACCCACACACAGGCCAACACAAGCTGGCAAACCATGTCAGAGATGCAAAGAAATATTGAAACAGCAACCTGGGTTGCTTCTCAAAGGTACAGGACCAAAGAAAATGGCAGTGAGGTAGCTGTCCACATCTGTGGAAGACAGTACAGCTGTGTTTCAGTTAATTAACGCCTGAAAAAGGCTCTTTTGATTTTCCCTTTGCAAAAGTTTTGTCACTCATATCTAGACCCTCAAAGCTCCGCCTTTCATGATCACCCCTCTGCGCTAATACCACGTGGTAGCAGAGCGCAAATATAGGGCAACGGTCTAGTTTGATTACAATCTGATGTCAGCTGACAAAACCACCTACTCAGAATGTATCTGGAAGGTTGCTACACAAGTGATATTATTTGAAACATACCTGTATGTATGCACACATTTTGATACAGCTATCATGCTGTGACTGCAAGTGCAGAGTCTACAATCCTCTGCAAGATGCCAAGCCTTCCTTCTTACCCTTTCAAGGGGTAAGACCTCTGGGCTCCCACCATGTTCAGTAGGAATTGAATTAATTCCTTGCACACCATCCATGGGAGCAAGCAAACACCTAGCATGTGGTTCAAAATGGAATGTGTTTTATCTATTTCTTACACTGTCTCACAGAAGAGCCCTACACAAGGTCACATCTGACATGTTATTATTAGCTGGCACTTTTTTCTCTCCCTCTTGATCTTTGCAGATGAGGGAAACAGTAAGTGCCGTCCAAATATCCACTGCCCTCACAGTGAAATGTGTGGGCAAATTTCACATGCAGATCAGATGCAGGATGGTCTAACCCATACACAACAGACAGACCTATGGACAAACTGCAGTGACTATACACATAAACTGTGATCAGCTATAAAGCTGATGGTCTTCATGGACCATGTATGCTTTCTGTGGGGCAAAACACCAGTCAATTTCTCCATTCTCCTTATCAATCTAAATGAAGAATAATCACAAGAGAAACTGGCATCTTTCATCTTCACTTCAACTTAATGCTCGAGCATTAAGGATGTTAAGCACTACTATATTTAAAATATAATCCAGGCAAAAACATAAAACAAAGTTCAAGAACACATAAAAACAAAGTTTCCCTCTTCAGGAAGAAGTGCTTCACTTCTAAACACATAATATATATAAAACTAGTGAAGTATGTAATACTTCTGCATTAATGAAGCAGTTTATCCATTTGCCCAGAATAACTAGCAAACAACCTGAAGGCAGAGAGACTACTTTACAAATTCCAACACAAATTTTACTGCAGATAAAAATTTCTGACGCAATTCATGATGAAATTTAAAGTAACAATTCAAATTTTAGTTGACAGTACAACTGGCAATGTTTCAAGCAGAACAGTGGCAAAGGTTGGATGAGAAAACAGCTTGCACAGCCTGAACCTCAGATCTCAGATAATAAAATACATTGTGTACAATACACCAGTAATGCCACTACAGTTAGACCCCGAAGCTGAACAGAATGAACTTACAATCTTGCATAAAAGTCACAAAACTCTTTGTAGAGTTTTATTTCACTGTGCCTACGTTGCAATTTTGACACTGGTTTCTCGCCTTCATTTCCTGCAGAGTTGTGAGCATCAGGAGCGACCTTGTATGCAATCTCTTCATCCTCTGGGATGGGGTACGGCTGAGTTCTGCGCTGGAAGTCCATCTTGCTCTGATTGCTTTCCCAGGTGTATATATTCTATGCTTATACTGCAAAGAAGCTGTAGCCAAAGTCTGCAAAACAATGTGCTGGACTTCCCCTTGTTCCCAGCAAAGTGATTTACTTTCACAGCCCCGTGTCATGTAGCTGGAGCTACTCAGCACCCTGCAAGAGCTTCAAGTTAAAAGTTCAGTGGCAGGGCTGTGTGCCTGTCACACTGAGATTCACTGAGGCTGGCTGTGCACAGAGAACACTCCCCTGTGTAAACTCGAATGCTGGAAAGGGTCTTCACTGTCACTTCACTGACAGAAGCTGCCCAGGAGAGCTGTGGTGTGAGTAACCTATGTGAGTAAATAACTTCACCACCGAATTTGTCTGCAGCTTCTTTCTGCTGAGAGGGTGTGGAGGCAGCGTCCAATAATATTTTATCATGGGCAAACCAGCAGTGAAAAGCAGGAAGAGAATACTGCTGTCTCCAGGTAAATATTGCTTTAATGCTATAGTGTATTAATTACATTGTAAAAATGGCCTTTATAATGCTCCACTTGTGTTTTCTAAGCCATATATGTTGAATTTATCTATAAGTGTCTTTTCTCTTGTCAGTACTTCAGCCAAGGGGTAGGTACAGGCAGTTTGATTTCTGTTGTGTTTCTCAGGCCACTAATGAAATTGACAGACACCATAATGGACAATATATGAAGGACGAAAACCAAAGTTTTATTTCCAGTGACCTGCTGCATTTAGAACAACTATCCAATGTAAGAACAGTAACTGAACTAAGATTTGTCGCTAATAATTACACTCCTATTTGAAGCACAGTGCTTGTGGCAGATGTGGGACACTCGGCTTCTTGCACTTTCTAGCTGCAGAAAAGGAAGGCTTTTGGGAAGCCCTCCTGAGTAACTAACTTTTGTGTTGAACTGTCTCAGCCTTGTTAGCAATAAGCTGAACTGCAGAACTGCATGCACTTTGTGCTCATGACACCTAGCACACTGGCAGTTGAAGAATCTACTAGTCTGTGAGAGGGCATGAGGAAGCAGAGGATGACAAGAAGGAGATGAGTAAACAGGAACAAATATAGAAACTAGAAGATCAGAGAATCATAGAATCATTTAGGTTGGAAAAGACCTCAAGTCCACAGAGTCCAACCATTAAACTGATAATGCCATAATTCACCACTAAACCAAGTCCCCAAGTGTCACACATACAAATCTTCTAAATACCTCCAGTGATGGTGACTCCAGTGTTTGACAACATTTCCATGACAAAATTTTTCCTGATCTCAAATCTAAACCTCCCCTGGCACAACTTGAGACCATTTCTTCTTGTCCTGTCACAGAATATGACAGAAGGTCCAGTCAAGGCTACAATTTCTTAATATACCTGCACCCTCCTGCTGAGGATCTGGTTGATGATGGTTTTTGGCCATATACCTCACCAGCAGCTGGGACAGCTTGCTCAGCAAGTGTACAGCAGCCCACACACCAGTCTCCATGCAGGCCTGAGCTTGAACACAGCCACCTTCCCACAGCTCAGCCAACACAGTCCTATGCTGCTGCTTCTGCTGACACATCTGTGGAATGGGTTTGGTCAGTCTCTTTCCTCCACTTCCCCTCAACAAGGAGCAACCCCTTAGGCAAGATATTTCCCTGTGTAGGTGGGACCCAGGCAGCATGACCCTGTTTATCTGCCTGTCCGTAGGTGTGATTATTCACCCTATGCCACAGCTACCAGGAGTCACAAGCTCTAACAGGCAAAGGAGGCTGCACCCTCACCACTGACACAGCCTGGCTGCAGCTCAAGCCCTATTTTAACCTGTCATGGGGCAAGCTCCAGATGAAGTAATGCTCAGACTGTAGCCCTAGGCCACAAAGATCTTGTCAGAGCACCATTGCAGTCCTGGAACAAAAGGTTTCTGCATTCTCTGGAGCATGAATGATGAAAATGAGCAGTGTCTGCCAAAAGACTTGGAGGTATAGTGATGCCAGTTCTTCGTCTTGCTTCCTAACATTTTCTGCACAGGCTAATGTTGAGCTTCTGTCGGTATAAAGAACTTCAGTGAGACTGACTGCAGCGGACTAAAAATGCTGATTCATCCGGTATTAGTGCAGGTGCACGAAGCCACTAAGATAAGAAACAGCAAGTCACCCTATCTCTTCCTCTTATCACAATTTTCTCAACAATTTCCCAACTCTTTTCCTGCATTTTGTTGCAGATCACAGACAATTCTCCTGGGAAGATGCTGCTGCAAATCAAAAGTGCCCTGTAGAGTCTTTCTCCTGGTGGACTACTACAATTCTTGGAGTAACTGAAGTCCACAGGTGACCAATGTGGCTGGAAGCCACTTCTGCTACCTCATATCCTCTTTGGTCAACAAGAAAACATTTGCTTGCTTCTTCAGCTTGCTACTGTGCAATCTTCTGCATGACTGTAGCAAAACAAGTAGTACAGCACGTTAGTGCAGTACGATGTCCATCCAAAAAGCCTGATTTTATCTTCCTAGGTTTTTTCAAGAAGTCCTTCAAAATAATAGGACTTATATGCAATAAGTAAAAGCTGTCAGGTTCTCCAGTCATATTACCATTGTTGCTGGTGGAATGACTCCCAATTTCTTCCATTAAGCAAGAAAGGAGCCTGACAGGAGTTTAGAAAGGGCCTTTATGCTACTGAAATAAAACACAGCTTCTACTGTGAAGGTCTGATAATCCACAAACCCAGAGCAGCTGGCCATCTTTCTCTTTTCTGACATTTTGCAGGAGGCATGCTGCCAAGATCTGAAATACATTGTTAAAAATACAGTGCATTTTCATTAGGGAATTCTAGGTTTCTCTGAGGTGAAGCTGTCTCCACGGGGAGTGAGAAGCATGTAAGGGGTTGTTTTGCAGCAGCAACAGCTTCCCAAGGGCATTCCCTGGGATATGGGACAAAACACACCAGCCTGTTGTTAAAGATGCAGTGTTAGGGAGAAAAGGGACTTGAGCGTTTAACTAGAAAAGGTAGGTATGAAACGAAAAGACAATCTCCTCTTGGCACACTGAGGATCTTATCAGAAAGCAAAACTGGTGGTTTTGGAAGGTGCTGAAGGAAATGGTAGAAGAGGGAGGGAGTAGCGTTCCACTACAGTTACCAGAAGGGCTTTGGTAAACAATAGCAAAAATAGGCGCACTGCCTAATCCGTGCTGACGGATGACTGCCGCCTCACTCCACGCTGCTTTCTCTGGACAGCTTTCCAATCTGGCTGCCCATGCCGGTGGCAGAGCTGCTGGGGACTCTTACAGAGACGGCTCGGTGGCCAGCCAAGCCCGCTGAGCATTTCACTCCGTGCCACAAATAGCTGTGTGCGGAGCAGTCACGGCTCCAAACAAGGTGCTTGGCAAAGGCAGCTGCTGCTTGGCAACCTATTTGTGCCACCGTGACATATCAGTGCACCGTCGGGACAGGCGGGGGGGATAAGTAAGCAGTGCGTCCCACCACTTCCCTCACAGGTACGTGTGGTTTCATTTTAATGATGTATTAACAGATGATATGCAGGGACTCTCACACGCAAAATACAGAACAACCTAGAACAGAGGTTTGACTGCAAAAGATGCGTGGGCTTGCAGTGCCCTGCTCTGATTTCTGCATCGACATTTTAAAGCACTAGTTGACCTTTTGTGGGGGTTCTTTATTGAAATTAAAAACATTCTTGGGTTCTGGTTGCTGCAATTGTTTATCTCTTAAGCAATAAAATACTTTCCGTGTTAAGCTAGTCTCCTAAGGCAGTTTGAAAGAAGATATGAATCCTTCATATAATTCAAATGCACATTACAGGTAGGATTTTCACATGTGCTCAGTGCAGCTCTAACTACTTTTTCTATTAAAAATGATGAAAAACCATCTTGAAACCACTGCAGTAAAAATCAGGTGAATTCTGAGTGCTCTTGGAAGTTTCATTCTTTAGTCTTCACCTCAAAATGCATAATTAAGCTTATGTGGTGGAAGTTTAAACAGGGCAAACAAAAAAAGCAATTCTAGTTGCTTCATATCCTTCAGTATAAATTTATTCTAGTATAAACATGTCCAAAAAATGCTTTGGTCTCTGCAAACAGAGAAGGTTCACATTCCATCTCTCCATAAGGAAGTAAATATAACTGGAATAGACAGGTAAGCAGCAGCTTCCCACGCAATGTTTATCAGTCATTCAGGCACAGTGAAGTATCAGCCTCTGACAGAATTTGCAGAAAGGGAGAGCAATATCCAACTACAGCATTTTCCTGTTCTAAGTAATATTTCAGCAAAGTATTGTGTTTTCTTCCTGCTGGTTATAAGTATTACCAAATGAAGCCATGCTCTGTATAAATCAAGTAATGACTTCTGTGTACAGATATTTGATGCTCTTTAAAACATTCATCTCTTCTTCACCCACTACTGTTTTTCTTAATCCTGTGCAGACAGGAAAAACAAAACAAACGCAGTATCATATATGAGAAGCTCAGGAACTCCAATAATTTTGTGTTCCATGACACACAGCATATTATGGGTTACTCTTGAAATTTACACCTTGTGTAATCGACTGTATGCCTACTTCATTATGATATCCAAGTTCTGTATCCAAATTCTTCCAACTCTATAAATTTTAAGGATGCATTTGCACTGATGCATTTTATATAATATTTACAGCCTTATTTCCAATTTAAGAATAATATAAAAGGTCACCCACTCAGTACTAGGGGCTGCACATCAAATGTCCCTGAGACACTCTGTGAAAAGAACCATCTTTTCAAGGTCAAAGAGAGAAGATCGGGTCCACACCAAGCTCCAAAAAAGTGACAGGACAAGAAGAAACAACCTCAAGTTGTATCAAGGGAGGTTTTGATTTGACATTAAATTTTGTTCTTCATGCAAAGGGGTGTCAAGCATTGGAACAGGCTGCCCAGAGAAGTGGTGGAGGCAGCATCCCTGAAACTGTTTAAAAGATATGTAGATGTGGCACTTGGGGACACAGTTTAAAGGTGGACTTGGCAGTGCTGGGTTACTGGTTGGACTTGATAACCTTAGTAGGTTGTAACAACCTAAATGATTCTGTGATTCTAAAATGATGCAGTAACATATTTCTCTTTAGGGTAATGGTTTCCTAGCACCAATATTCAGTTCATGTCACTGATATCCACCAAAAATCCTCCACTGAATCCTAAGCATAATGGCAAATGCCAGCCTTTGATCGTGCCTGAGTCATCTGCCTGCACTGTGTGGAACCAATGTTTTGACAAGCTGAACACCATGACCCGAGCAGTTCATCTAGGAGCTATAATTAATACTATGACTCAACATAACACCCCAGCAATCAGGAGAGACTTCCAGTACATCCACGCAGCTCCTTGTAGGGCAGAGAGAACTGCAACACCAGGATTTCCAGCTCACAGCAACATCCTTATTATAGTCACATTTCCACTGGAGACACCATGCTGAGGACTGACCTTCAGCTTCAGTAACCTGCACGTCACAGACATCTTTTATTACTTATTACCTATTACTATTAATCTACACTTTAAGCAACATGATCTCTTCTCACTTTCATTAGTTTGAGCTTCTATATGATGAAGCACAAAGTTTTTCATTGCCTAAATTAATTTTGAGCAGAAGTACAATGTGCTACAGAAAACATCTCAGCTGTTCCTCTTCTCTCACACATATACCAACTTGTAACTATTAGTCACTCCAGGTTTTGGTTTCACATTTTTCTCTTCCTACATTCACTACAGCATCACCAGGCTTTAAAACCTAGAGAGGATAGCAGACAGCTAAGCCAATACTGCAGCATGAAATAATAGCCTTCATGTTCAACTGCCAAGAGAACAACCAGACGCAGTTTATGTTCGTGAGACTCAAGAATGAGTAATGTATCAACAAGTAAAGCTAAAATAGCATTTTGACTTCATTACGACATTCTTAAAATTTAGGGTAATGCAAACTAAAGGTCTTCATCTTATTTATTAGCTATTCAATGCTAGTAGCATTCCTGTCAAGCAAACGTGAATGAATTTCAGTAGCAGTTTGTACAAAGCAAGACTTCCATGCATTTTTCTAGCAGAAAGTTTGGCAAGGTTTTTTAAACTTTTTTGCCAGGTTTTTTTTAAGTAATGGTTTCTGTCCCAACACCTGACTAATCCTCAATGAGTAAAGCAGCAGTGGACAGTTACAGTAGCTATTGTATGATGGAAGAGGATATAGAAGTTACCCCTTAAAAGAATATACTGCTGGGATCATTCAAAAGAACAGTGGGTTTTTTTGCTTGACAGAATGGAAGCAAAGGAAAGAGAGAAGATGACAGGGCTTTGTGCTTTCAATCAGAGGGATTCGAGCCCTGCCATGCCTCCTTCTGCTTTGCTACATACCCTGTTATAATCTGAGGAGTAGCTTTAGAAAGCATTTTAGAAAGCATTTGAGTTTTAAAACTATGCAAACACTTGTACATTTCAGGCAAAATTCATAATCCACAACTTGGTAGCTCATGGAGTTATCCTATTCTGAAGCTGCACTGCTACAAAGTCCTCTAAAAAAGTATATGTATTAGGACCAGTTTTACAATGTATCAGAAATATAGGGTATGCTTCACTTCAGTTTCTGAAATCCGGGAGAAGAAACAAAAAATTTTTGTTTCCACAAAAACTTTGTTCAAACAAAAACTGAAAAGCCAAATATTATGCAGGACAAACAGCTTTCAACACAAACTTCCTGTACTGGAACAGCCAGAGCAGTTTTGAGGCATGACTCTGAGTGGGAATCCAATAGTTGCATAGAAACAGAGTTCAAAAGGTAGACTCACCCTGGGATCAAGAACTTTATGATCTATGAAGAGTGTGGCATGCATGGATTTCACATGCTAGAAAAGACAAACATAATTTAACATTTGCTCTACCTTTGTCCACTCATTCCTTGCTGGAGCAGCTTAAATGTTTTGAATCTTTCATTTAAAAAAGCACAAGCCGAGAAATGCTGCCAGGTATTGCTATCTGTGTCTGCCAGTATGTTACTTCCTTTGAGGTTAATAATAAAAAGTTGTTAATTCATTTTTTTTCTAGCTCTATTATGACCATTAGGACAGCCAGAAACAGAAGAAGGAAATATGTCACAAAAGTCAGAAACCAAATTTCTCTTGCTGGACAAAAGGCTCCAAAAGATCAGAAAGGTTCATCTATAAAGACACATCACAGAATGACTTTGAATCTGCTGGCAAAATTGAGCAGTATCATCAAAAAGCCCCGCTCATAGAGCATTATATTTAAAGCCATCATGTCAGAATTCAACCAGCAACTACCTAAAATAAGAATTTCTACAAAACTCTCAGATAAAATAATGAAAACTGAACAACGGCAGCCTAAAGCTGCTATGACGAATCAAGCAAGGAAAAAAACCCCATGTACTACACCATCAGATAATACACATGAAAACTCAAAGCACTGAGTGACTTAAATAAATGCCCTGAGACTGCTGGGTGCAAGGCAAGACCAGAGGAGTTAATTGAAGGAAAAAACACTGAATGCCACAAACTCCATAGGAAGTGTCTGAGCCACAGCTGGTGGCAAGCTGGGGTTACTACCAAGGGCAATCCCATAAAAGGCTCACTCTTCTTCTACCTCCCTTCACAAGAATCAACCTTTGGCCATCCTCAGAAGCAGCATACTTGGCAAGCTGTTCCAATGCCTGGAAAGCATCATGTAAAAGGCTCATGGTCCTCTTGAGGACACTGTGTCAGTTAGCTTCAGGTTTCCTAGAACAGCTCAGAGACCTCAAGAAAACAAAATAAAAAATATACAGAAAGGGAATCCAAACTTACAACCTTTAAACTTTTCTCCCAGATACCTGCAAGTCAGTAATTTTTAATAAGTGGTAACACTGACATAATTCAGTTTTTCTCTTCTGTGTGTAAATTCACTTCAGTGTGACAGGCTGTATTCAAAGGACAGCTTAATTATAATGAAGAATAATAAGCAATCACAGTACCTTTTCTTTAGAGGACACCTCTGATTAGGTATCATCGGGACACACGATGATAACAACAGTGAAAGAAATGCACAATTTACCTTTAGTTAGCTAAACCTGTAAATAAGAGCAGTGAAAATCTTAATTGCTATAATTTAAATCCTGATCGAAGCTTATATGTCAACTAAAATGATAGATTTAAGAAGAAAAGCAGTTACTGCTTTGGTTGATGTTACACAAGCAGCTACCTCCGGATATTTGGAGTCATGAGAGGTGATAGTTCAGGCTAGCAAGTCAAGCAAAATCACTTAGTTGTTATGCAAGGTAGGAGACAAGGGGTGAGAAAGAAGGCAGGCAAAAAAGGGTGTGTTCCTTAGGAGTTATTTTAACCCCTAGAGCAATGAAAAGTACAGAACAAATGAACAGTAAAGCCTCTAGTCATGTTCATAATTATAACTAAGGTGCAATGCAAATTCTAGGTATCCCAATATTTAAATCCAACCATGAAACATATTTTTGCTGGCTGTAAGTTACTCTAATTAATGGTACCAATTCAGTGTTACATTTACATGGAGAAATCCCTTCTTCAATTAGAGCAGCTAGCAGACAAGCTCAAGTGTTTTAGTTCAGAACGCCCAAGCACCTGATTCAAATGAATATTCATAGCACTCAGCTCTCCACTATTCTAGCAGAGTTATTAGGGAGAAGCACAATTTTTTTTTCTTAGCACTTATTTTAAAGATGTTCCTGCTTTAATAAATTAATCACTTTTTTAACCAAGGTATGGAATAATTATTGCTTCACCTGATGACACTGGCAGGGTGAGCAAGTTAAACAACTCTCACAGAAAGCAGACATATAAATGTTAACACTGGTGATGCTACAAAGAAACATTACCTGGAAAAATCAAATTTAAGTAAGCTTCCAGGTGCATACAGATCACTTATTTTCTCCTTAACCTGCTCTCGGTACCCCAAAGCATCTGAAGGTTCAACAGGTCTCTGGTTTCCAGACAGTCCCTGACCATCATTTTCACTCCTTCTTCCTAGGAAGAGCAGGTCTTCAGAGCTGGATGGCTGGAGACAGCTGTACACCTTGTCTGGCTGCTACATGTGACTTTTGATGGCAGGTTACAGAGATTTGTGACCTTGCACAACTCCTGAATGCTGTATCTCATAAAGAAAGGGAGACAGCCCTACTGTACTGCCATTGGGGGGAATTTTATTCATTTGTTTCTTTTTACACACATCTACAAGGCTTGCTGTGCAGAGCCTATCCCCCAAAGGCTCACTGGGACGTAACAATGTGCTTATGCCTCCTGTTTCGCCTGCAAGGAAGTCTTTGTGCTTGAAATTTTCGGGCACATCCACATGCCTTCCAGCCAGGAGTCAATGTGTAGAGGCAGGCAGGAGCCTGAACAGATCCAGCAGAAGATTGCCTGCACCTACTCACACACATGTACCCATGAGCTTCACCAGCAGAAAGCAAAGGGAATGCAGATACTTTAAAACTATTAATATAGAAAACATCTACAATGCTTTCTGCACAGAACAGAGCAGTGAGCTATGAGGACCTGACAGCTACTGATGGAAGCTCATCAATGACTACTTATTGTAAATGCTGAAATTTGGTAAAAACTTGAGACTAACCTCTTCAAAATGGCATTTGAATGCATATGAACTTAGGAAAGAGAACTACAGATAGTAGCTAACTGATAAAATTAATTTTTAAGTGTAATTGCAAAAAAAACTCCTAAGATATTTGCCTCTGCTTTTGTTAGTACCTTGTACTGAGCCTTGAGAATTAATAGTATCAATTCTTTTAGAGGAATCATTCTATTTGCACAAAAACCCATGGGATGAGAAAGGGAAAGAGCAAAAATAGCAAGCATACTGCTATTGCTAAGTGACTCCTAATGATTAATCATAAATATATGTGTACAATTTCCTTCGCATCCTGTTTGCTGAGAAAAGCAAGAAAGAATAGCTCAGCATACAGTCAGAATTTTTTACATGCTGTTTCAAAAAACAAAGCAAGACAAGACCTACAGGAGATGCCATCTTTTTCCCATTAAACCAATATAGTTGGAAAAGAACAAGTCTTCAGAACAGTCTCTTCTGAAAAGCAGATTTTTCAGGTTGCATTTAGTTCAAGGACGGCTTGACAAGTTGCACACAGGAGAGACATGAAGGTGCCTGGCATCCTCCTGCATTTTGAACTCTGCACCCGGGGAGCATCCTGTATAATTGAGGTTTATGAGATGGTGAGTCTATTCAAGCAGGTGAAGAGAGGTCTGCATTCAGCATCCCAACCTCATTGGAGTTCTAAACCAAGCACTTTTTTGTACTTTGCAAGTTCAAGAAAAGGATGGGCTATCCAGACCACCTTTTACATGGCACAAACAGGCTGCAGCTCCCTAAAAATCAGCAAAGTACCAGTTGCATCTCTAGCAGCAGATTAAAAGGCTGCCAGAGAGATTATGGGGTTTGTGAAGAGATGCAGGGAGTGACACAGAAAGAGAAGCCGTATTTCCCATCCCCACCAATATGCTGTGCTGTCAGGACAAATTAAATGTATGTGATACATTATATGACAAACATATGTTCTGGTGCACATTTAGGAGTTTCAGTACATTGTTTCATAGTTCCCTAATTATTATATAATTATATAGTAATCTCACACAAATTAAATACAAATGACACTGACATTCCCAGGAAAGAAAAAAGGCAGAATTTTGGCACCAAGTCCTGCTGAGCTGCTTTGAAATGCCAACACTTGGCTATGTCTCAGCTGAAGTTTGCAGGTACACAGATCCCTGTCCTACCAAGCACATTTGGCTCCTGCTGTGATGGCTGGACCCAGCAGCTGAAATTAAAGGTTTTAAGTACAGAAGTTCTCAAAGGGTGACCTGGGGACACTGGCATCTTGAGTATATTTTGGCCCAGGATTAGAAGAACACTACTTGAACTGAGAAAGCATGTTTCAGTGAACTGTTGCTGGAGGGCTGATATTATTTAACACATCTGGATTAATATGTATGTAAAACAGAATACAAAGGCATTAGAACAAAGAACTGGAGAGAGATACTATGAGAGCCCATTAAAAAGCCATGGATGGCAAGATATATTTAGCAGACATAAAAGAAACCTCTTGTCTTTCTTGTGGACTCTAGATACTCTGAAAGTATTTGCTAAGGACAGGCATCTAAGTGGCACTGGGAGAATATAAGAAAAAACTAGAGGTTTCCATTTTTAGAAAACTAATGAGCTTCTTGTCTTTGTTCCCAATTGCTCTTTGCCCTGTTGATATGTCATAATTCTGTATGTATAATGCCACAGGCTTTTGTCATGGAGAATGCAGTAAAAATTACAAACAAGCCTGCCTTGCAACACGCTGAACTATCACAACAGGGGTTAGGAATATGGTTAGGAAGGAGCAAGGTTTAGTTTGAATAAGAACCAGCTTAAGCTATTAGCAAACATAAGATAAGCTCTGTTTTCAGGTATGGGTTGTCCCCCTATGCTTTAAAAGCATCATCTGACCATGTTCTAGTCACCTTCTTGTACCTCCAACACTCTGCACTCCACTGATCCACAAGCCCCTGATTCACTATTTCCTCCAATTTGGATTTTATTTCTCAAGACCAATCCCTATTTCATGTATTTCTCATCTTTAAATGGAAGAGGCTCAGGAGATTAAAATACACAGATTTCTACTGGTGCAGTAAATATATCCCTTCCCCCTGTCCAGCCCAAAATGGTCTAATTCCTATCTTGGATATGCATTGTAATAACAGCAACACAACCATACAGAGCTAATACACATTTTTATGTATATGTTTTAGAAAGAGGCTTTCTCTTCTCCAAATAGATCTATTTTTCTTCATTTCTAGTTTTTACAAAAGAAACTAAATGTCAAAATGTCAAGAATCTCTGCACATCTCTTACTCTGCTAAGTCTGGTTATTCTTCCAACTGCAGTCATATGAATATGACATATATACTACTAATGCTATTAGAAATTCATCTCAGAAATCAATTCAGAATTAATACTACAAAGAGATACCAAACACACATACCAGACCTGCAAGTTAACACACTCCTAGAAGTGATATATTTCTGACATCTCATGGCAAATAATCTCTCTAAGTTACAATCATGCATTTTGCCATGATTAAGGTGCTTAGTTGTAATAAAAGAGTAAATCCCCTAGATCTAAGTAACCATTCTTCTGAAATCACTAATGCAGTTCACAAAAGCACAGTAACAACTATTCAAATTATACAGCACTCCAACCTGATGCACAACCACTACCTAGGAAAAATAATCTAAAAATACAATGAGACAGGCATTAGGAGATAGGAAGTACTTCCTTTCCACTGAGGCTTTTGTTAGCAGATACACAAGGTTCCTTTGCTGAGAAGCTTGAAGTGGGAATAGATTGCTTTCATGCTGAGCACACTTAGGAAAACATCTTAGCATTTTTACTCTTTTTGTGGGGGCGTCTGCACTTAACTCAAGTTGCAAACAGATCTTTAATTTTTCTGCTGCAAACAGAGGCTATTTGCAAATTCATTGTTAATTTTTTTCAAAAGGTTCACCGCATCAGGAAGACAACCCCAGACATTAAATGGCTTTCTGATTTTTGGTCGCCCTTGCTCAGCAAAGGTAGGCTAAGTGGCCCTGCAGCATTCTTTTGTCTAAAGCTCTTTCCACAGCAAAGAGCCCCCCATGAAGAGATGCAGAGCCCAGCAGCCACCCCAGCTCCAGCCTGGTGCAGGGACTGTACCAAGACCCTAGAGGCAGCACAACCCACAGAACCTGGGTGACCCAGAACTAACTTCAAAGCAGACGGAGCAAAGTTGTCAGGCTCCAAAACGTTTATTTACTTCCGAGTGCTGGCCGTCAGAAGGGATCCCGAAGTAAACAGCGGCTAACATTTGCCCTTCCCAGAGTCAGGGAAGGCTGGCACACCATCGCCAGAATGCGCAAGGTCACCCCATGGCTCCTGCTATCCCACTTTCAGGGTTTTTCTGTCGTGCCTCGGGGCTGCTTCTCAATCCATGTGTTTTGCAGTGACTTTCCAGAGCTGTGGGTGCATTTTGTTTGTAAAAACCACCGAAGCAAGCGGGCAGCAGAGAAAGGCTCGGTGCCCTGTCAGTACCGTCCATTCACACTCACCTCAGGTTCTCTTCCTGTGACCCGGGCAGGACACTGTCAGGACGATCCCGTCTCCTCCTGTACAGACCCGAATGTGACAACTCTTTCAGCTGCAAGGCCGTCATATTCCCCTACCTGGAGGAGGGTTGGTTGTTTTTTTTTAAAGGTGAGGGGGGTGTTTTGGCTTTGGGCTGGGTTTCTTTCCCCCGCCTCTCCCAGCTGTGGGAGCCGAGGAGCGCGCCTGCCAAGATGCCTGGAGAGCAGCGGCTGGGCGGTGTGTCGGCACACCTGCGCCCGCCGGAGCCACCAACCTCTGCAGGCAGGCAGGGCAGGCAGAGCTGCTTCCTGTTTCCCATAGGTACACACCCTCCCAAAGGGCACCACATTTCCTTTATCACTTGATCACACCTAAGGGATGTGTGCGACAAGCTCACCCCCTTCCCTCCAGCTTTCCTCAAACTCTCACGGCTCCGACAGGCACGACCCTGCCCCGTGCTGGGCAAAGCAGGCGGCTCTTCCGCAAGAAGCTACACATCTCCAAGACTGCGATGAGCTGTTTACTCTTTCCTGCTCTAATTTATGACAAAAGGTAAGTCATTAGAGCTATGAAAATTCAGAGTTA